TGTGCCTCTATTTCCTTACCTGTATTAAGTTTTTCCTGTAAGGTCTTTTTTTTATTAGCATGTATGTATTCATTCTACAATATTTAAGATTTTATTTCGAACCTTTGCATACTGAAAAAGGCCCATATCCATTTCCAAAGGTATTAAATTTAAAGAAATAACATACGGAAACTTATCGAAATAATTATAACAATATAGTTATTCAGTACCTCAAAAACGTTACAGATACACTTTCCTCGAGTACCAAAGCTCTTATACAAAGTACATAAATATGTTAATAAGTGGTCTGGTCTCTGTGAATTACTACAAGCCGACCCATTTGTCAGACATGTTCTACTTGATTGGCAACACAAACTGGAAACCACAACATCCTAATACACACCTCGAGCATAACAACGTTGTCAAGGGAATACTGACTGTATTTGCTACAGTAAATTAAAAAAAAAGAGGTAAATATCAATTACTAACATTATTACATTACAAGGAAACTGTGTTTAATATTCTTAATACGAAGTTTTTACTTTTTGATGGCTTTGCAAAATATTATACATATGGTTTGAGCAAGCTTGTATAGTTATAAAGTTTATTATATCAGGAAATCTCAATTGGAATAAAATTACTATGCAAAAACTGGCGATGGAGCAGAAGCTTAATTTTTTTTTAGAAGTAATAGCGGAAGATCGGAAAAATATTGTCACCAAACATTACCGACTTAATATAAGAACTTTGGGTTACATTATGAAAATTAAAGAGAGCCATTTCGAAACTAATATGATTTGGTTCATTTTACTACTACGTTTTTCAAAGACATGACTAGGTGTAAGAAATATTCCGTACGAGTAGTACTTTAACGTAAGTCGAAATGTTCATCTCAATTTCATTTCTTTTCTTTTCTTTACATTACGGGAATATTATTATTTCAGAGAATAAATGTTAATTGTTTGTGATAGTAAGTGATTTTCTAAATTATAAAATATATATTTTACATTGTTTTAACTAGTATACCCAATTAAACACTACCTAGCAAGGCTCTAATACGCCGAAACCTACTTTAAAGATATTACTTATAAACCAATTGAATATGTAACCCTTATGCTGATACATGCTCATGCTTACTCCTCTAATTCACTTATAAACCGCTTAAGGTGCGAGACTCGGATTACAACATTTGCTGACTTCGATATAACATCCTTCTGCTGAGATATCAGTTCCTCTCATGTCCCAATCCACAAACAAGTTCTTACTTCAACCATTTAAAATATCATATGTATATATCAGATTACATCCATACAAAGCCAACATACAGCATCTGTAGTCAAGCAATCTTCAAATTAAGTATAAATTTCAGGTTTAAAATATTTGTAAAATGCTGAAATGTAAATAATATAATATAATTATACTTCAAAATTAAAATTCCAGGACATCTGGTGACTCTTAAAGCGGGAGGATTTTTGTTGTATTTGAAAACACCTCTATTCTGATTTCTGATTTTGGTTTACTCAGTGGTAGTAGTGGCATGTTTATTGCCACTATTGTTGGAAGTGATTGTTATTTAATTACTTCAACATCATTATATTACCCTACCATCATTTTTTACTTAGAAATAACACAGTATCGAGTTCCGTTGTAGTTTCTATTTTAAGACTTGACATATATTCGTTTGTTTACATGAATTTTGTTTAAGGAAGAGTTCACATCAGATTAAAAAAATAATAAAAAGGAAAGAGAATTTTAAAGCCTTGAAATATTGCACGATCCATCAAGATGAAGTGTTTCAAGAAAGGATGAAGCTCGATCATCCTCCACTTCAGGATTGAAGATGTCTTATTTTGAGACGCTGTATTAACCAAGTATCCTATATTTACACCTACTTCATTACAAAATCATTTCTTTACGTCTTATAGGCCTAGTTAAAAATGTTCAATCTAGATTTAAACCTTACTAACGATATTGGCAACCTAAACTTGAAACCCATCCTTATAGGTACATTGATTATAAATACGTTGGACCATAGAGACGTCTATGGTTGGACCCCTTAAAACCCTCAGGGGCGGAGCCCTTTTGACTAATCTGCACCAAACGTCACACAAACTATCCTTGAATAATGCTTAATAATGCCTGGAACTTTTGTTCAAATCATAGGGTACATACATACATACTTCCTCTATTATAGATATAGATAGGCAACATAATAGTATGCATAGTTAAAAACATTGTCCAAAGTTTTCAGGCGAACTATGATGATTAATTTTGTCTTCGAAAAAAACCTGCATAAATAAGTTATAAACTATGTTAGACAAATAGTTGTGAGTGTGGCCCGCATATGCCATATTTTAATAGTTACAAACAATAATTACAAATAATTACAAATAATAATTACAAATAATTACAAATAATAATTACAAACAATTAACGGGTAATTATCATACAAACCAAGATAGAATCTCCGAGGAGTGAAAATTGCAATTAAAACCTTATTACCCAGAAATACAATAATTAACATCTTAACTCAGCATAACAGCATCTTTAGGGTAATAAAATGTCTACGAAAAGACTTACTGTTAATTAAGAAAGTGTTAAATGGTTAATTAGATTTTATCCTCCGACTGAGTAAAAAATGGCTGAAGTTAACTCCCAGCTTTTACTTTTACTTCGGTACACTTAACATAATGTTCGAATATATGAAAAGTGGTTTGTCAAACAAATTAAATTAGTCATGCAGAATGTATTTGTGTCATGGTATTAACACATGCGTGTTTACCGTAAGTTTTATGAAGAAGATTATGCTAGTTAGGACAGGGGTTTTGCTAGTTTATACGATAGAAAATATGCTTAAGAGTTTTATTCAAAATTGGATTAAGCTTGCACAAGTGTAAGGTTTATAGTAACTTTTTATACGTTAGTGAACAAATCGATTTCTTTCAATCTTAACAGTCACTATTAAACATATAATATTTCTAGAGTACCCAAAGGTAATATTGTAATAAAGTTAAATTTAATGCTATTGTTAATCAGGTTAACACTGGTAAATGAGGTCATCAACCTAGAGCACTAATTAGTTAAACACAACAAGTTAAATTTTTAAGCCTAATTGTCAATAGATACCTGTTTGTTGGTAAATATACTCATAACTCATAAACATAAAATATACTCGTGAATTCAGATTTTGCTAGTATTTTTGGTATAATTTAACTTGTGCATATTTTTATTCTTCATAATAGAATGATAATACATTATATTCGATTATTATTAGATTACTTATATGTTTGTATGTAGGGAAATAAATTCTAAAAAATGTATATAATGAGTTAAAGTTTTATTTGTACATAATAATTTTAAAACCAGTTTACCTCGAAATTTTTCAAAATATTTTTTCAAGTTTAAATTTTTTACCTAAAAAATTGTGTATTTATTATTTTATATATTTACTTCGTAATTCTATTGTTCTTTAGTTTATTCTGAACACAAAAATATATATCTTAGTTTTTAAAACTTTTTGCAATTCAAAAAAAGTTTTAAAATTAGTAAAAAATGCCCGGGCTGGGGAAAGAAGCATGAGTTAGATTAGTGGGGATTCAAGAGGTTAACAAACATTATCGTTGGTATATAGTATATTCTATGTTCACCCCTTCATTTCGCAGCAACCCATATAGGTTTGTGAAAGCCCCATCCACCCTACGACTTTTATTAACCGGGTGTACAGCCCATCTCCTTCGCCGTCGTCTATTTCTCTTCATGTACAAATAAGTATACACCAATACACAAGGATCCATCTTGGGTCACTGACGATGGCAAAATGAACGAAGTTGGTAGCACTGACCACCCCCACCACGGGCATCAGCGGATTCCGCTAGGCGGAGAAACTGCATAAAAGGGACATCGATTCCGCCCGACGATTTCGCCCGACCGAAAACGCCGTGCATAAAAGAGGCCTAAGCCAGAACAGTAAACGTTTATGGGAAATAATTTTTGTACATCTTGGAAGTTTCAAGGGTGTTAACAAACAGAAAATCCACCCACTTACAACGAGATCCGGGAAGAGGCAGTATCTGGGCATACGCACTCTTTCAGAGCACAGAGCAGTGCCAGAGACATTCCTCTCCTGAGCTGAAAATGAAATTACCTGTAGAATTATAGCGCAAGACAATGTGCTTAGCTTTATAAGATTAACTAAATATGAACTTATAGTTAAACACTTTATATGAAAAACGCATAGAGCTGATTTTGAAAAAAAAAACTACAGCATACAAACATTTGTCATACTGTAGGGTAGACTTCCGTATCTGTTGGTACAATTAACCAAATGAAAATATCGATTATTCGATTGTTTCATTCGATATATCTTTTGGTTAGTTAGGTTCGGCTAACCTTACCTAACCAACCAAACAATACATCGAATAATTATATCGATCGATATTTTCATTCGGTTGTTTGTGCCAACAGATACGGAAGTCTACCCACCAAAGCAAGTAAACATGTTGTTTTCAAATATTTACGAATCAATGTATGTACGGGACATATAGGGAATTGTAGGGTGATGTTAAATGGAGATAATATACTTCGCCTCTACATGAACGAGAAATACATTCCGTTTTTTCATTGACTACCGTATACCTACCGTATGTATGTATATAGTCAATGGATTTTTAGTAAAAATTAAAGCGAACAAAGAAGTAAGTTTAGTCATTATAATATTAAAATAACTACTTTTGAAACATGCCTAACCGTATTTATATATATTCATTTGGAGCAGTGCCTCAGCATCTCATTATTTGTGGAGCAGTGCATTTCGGGATTTCGGAGTCATGTCTTTCGAGACAGTGTCTCGAAAAAAAGTAAATGCTTTTCGGAGCAGTCTGCTTAGAACTTTCTGTGCTGCATGGTTAATCAATCCGTACCACCTTGCAACGCAAACAAACGAGGTAAACATAACCTATAAAAATACAATGTTTTCTTTTAATTTTATTAGACAGACGACAGGAGGGACAGACTGACACGAAACTGTATCAACGTCAACCAACTAACAGCAACAAAGTTCAAAGATAATAATTTGCTGTGTAAATAAATCTGGCTCATTATATTACCCGGTCAATTATTTGGTCACATTTGTATGTGATTTTATTATTTTCATCGTCAGTTTTGGTAGAAGTATTTATCAGCAGAAGTAATAGCGTTGTTTATCTGCGTTCCAGTGAGATGGCACACAAATCGAGTAATCTTAATTGTAAATATTCAATTTTGCTGCCTACATATAATGAACGAGAAAATCTTCCAATTATCGTTTGGCTGATAACTAAATATATGGATGAGAGGTAATAATTTAAATTAATCAGGCTAGCTTTAAATAAATTAGGATCTGCATGCACAACATGTTTGTCTTGGCCTAAGTTATGTCCCTATATTTTGTATACCTTTTGTGGTTGTTTTTGTGTAGACCTAGGAATTTTTGTACTGTCATATAATGTATAAAATAATATGGACTTAACTTACAACTAATTCCATCTGCATACTCATTATCAATATCAAGAGGCCTTAAAAATGATTGAAACTGTAGCCTATTTGATGAAAGTCTCCAACTGAAAGCACTGATGTGTGCCGTGGTCAACAATTTATTCTTGGCCTAATCATAGACAAAATCTTCCACAGAGTAGTCCTAGTAAGGCCTCTTGAGAAGGAAATCTTCTGGCTTTGTTTTTAAGCAGGTTGATTATTTAAATGCTGAAATTCAAATTAGGGTGCACTTAAGTTTACGTCCTATTCTTATTCGGGGTACAGTTTCTTAACTGGGCTATGCTAATACAGATTGAAACTATCGAATTGAAAATATTGATTAATAATCAATATTTTTAAATATGTCTATTGTAAAATTAAACTATCATAACCTAAACTAACCAACCAAACTTGCTGATGGTGAAAAAATCGCTTGAAGGTTTACTAATCGAATCGATAGTTTCAATCGATATTAGCATAGCCCAGTTAAGAAACTGCACCCCTTATTCGAATGAAAAATAACGATATTTAGAATAGGCGTTTGATATATCGATTATTTCATTCGGTTAGTTAGGTTGATCGATGTTTTCATTCGAATGAGTGTAGGACTTTTTTTTAACTAAAGTGCAGCCTTCAATTTCCACTAGGCTTAAGTTATTCTATCCAGATGTTTCTGCCCAGAGGCTAAATCGCTTCCAATGAATTCATAGTTAGATTATTTTCTGTGGGAGTAAGCTGAGGTTGCTGAGTGGTCTCTAGGATTAACTGGCAGTAACTTAATAAGTTAGTTAAATTAGGAATTACCGGTACATTAACTTTTTATATTGGCAGAGGATACGCGTCCGGTACCGGTAACCGGATGTGGATTAGGCGTCCGGCAGTTACTGTCATAACCTAACCAAACCAAACTTGCTGATTACGGTATGAAAAAATCAAATGAAGGTTAACTTAAATTATGTTCATAATATAAAATTATAAATGACTCAAATTCTAACAAAAGATCATTCTAACGTAAAAACAGTTAAGAAGAATTGGCATTCTAAGCCAAATCTTTGACAAAAAGGTGGTGTTGTCGATGGGATTTTATCTAGATACCTCTTGTATATCAACCGAGTACTCTATCCACTACACCACGAACACTGATGGCTGGACATTGTATCGTTGTGGTAATGGTGTTCCGGGCCCCCACAACCCGGTGACGTCACTGCCGGACACCTAATCTACGTTCGGTTACCGGACGCGTAAATATCCTCTGCGTTTAATCTTAGGCCTAGGCCTAGAGGGTCTTGTAATCAGGCTTACATTAGGTATGTAAAAGAATCATGTGCCCTAAGGACATGGTGTTCTTAAAATATTAAGTTATGTATACTGTATTCATCCCACTCAGCTTTCATCGTAATAATGTGCTATTTATCTTCCTTGGTAAAAATATAATAATCAGCCTTGTAGCCTAATGGGTAAGTTACCTATTACTGACTTAGGCCTAGTCCTAACAGTCCCATCAATTTACAGATTCTATTTTTTTTTTTTTTTTCAGTGGGTACGACTACGAGATCATTGTAATTGATGATGGAAGCCCAGATGGCACTTTAGAAGCTGCAAAACAGTTGGAAAAAATTTATGGATCCAAAAAAATTGTAAGTTTTAAAAAACTAAGATCACAACTTTCGATCATGATTTTGCCATGGGCTACTAAGTTACAAGAATCGCTGTGCTTCTAAAAAATTACCACCGTTTTTGCCGTAATCACGAGAAATTATAACAGATGTTGCCGTGATCGCATACATTTTTCATCCTATACAGAGGCGGATTTGAAGATTTGCCGCCCCTGGGCTTTCCACAATTGGCTGCTCCCCTTCAACCGTGTACGCTTTTCTTGGGGCAGGTTGACGCCAAATCACAGAGGTCAAATGACTAAATGAGTGCCATATATATGCCTCTCAAATCACGTGTATTTTACCAAACTAGATCCACACCGAGTAGCTGAATCTACCCGCTAGTTTATTCTCATCACTTTATTATTCTTATTATATTTTAATTGCATACTAACTCATTAGTAATTAATTACCAAAGCCATGAGAATAATTTTAAATATGAAAGTAAACAAGTGGTTTGATAACAAGATTTAAAATTTTGAAGTAAAATGAAGTTTTGATTAAAAATTATCATAACCTAGTTTGTAACATTGTTTTACAACAGATAGACCCTAAATACTATTTTATTTTATTGGAGAGGTAATGGAATCAAATGGTTAATAGTAAAAAAAAACGTAATGTAGATTGATTTGAGGTATTTAATTTTGTTATGCAAATTTTTGGCTATTGAAATAACATAACTCACATGATCTGGAATCAAATAAACTTCTTTTCATCATTCTGTATTCGAAAATAGCCCATTTCCATGCAGCTGAGATCTTTGAAAATCGTAAATTTTCATACACCAAAAACAAATAGCTTTTGATCAGCTGACTTTTACTCTTTACTGACATAAACATTACTTTCGCTAAACACAAACAATAGCCTACTTTGCCTGACATCAACAAAGTTACGTTTTGATTTTTTTAAGTTTGATGAAGTAGTTTTTTTTTCATTGTGATAAAAAGTATTGTTCAAAACTCGTCACGAAAGTCTCGTTTCGATGCTCGATAGTGTTTCCATCTCGCCCCGAAATGGGCCACTTTTGTGACTAAGTAGTCTAGTGAAATATACTATTAATATTCTAAATATATATAATCATTCCCTATCTCTCAATTCTGTACTAAAAAGTTTCATGACATCTAGCTGTTTGTCGTTTCCTAACCTCAAAACATCACTTCAAACACCTGATATGTTTTATTGACGATTCCCCTCTCTACGAGGACGGCGGAGAAGACATCGATGGTAAATGGTAAATGATCACTGCAGTGACATTATAAACATGTCAACAAAGCAGTGGATACCGGACCTGATATTGCTCGCATCAGTAATCGCAAGAAAATGAGACATCACACCACTTCGCTGTCTGCTGATTCTAACGAGTCCATGGCTGTTTTCGGGGATGGAAGCTTGGTTTTTGCGTGATGTTAGTAGGTAGAGGTTAAATGTGGAATGGTTTGATCATTATAGTGTGTATAATTTTCAACCTTCGACTTTCCTAGTTAGGTTATAAAGTTTATTTGTAAGCTAAATATATTTTTAAAGTTTCAAACTAAAGAAAATATACTTCTAAAATTTCTCACCCTTCAAAATCTGCCGCCCTGGGCTGCACACCTTGAACCAACCCCCCCCCCCCCCAAACCCGCCACTGATCCTATGATCATGAGCAAACAATATGGTGATTTGAGGCAGGGGATAAATCTTTTAGTAGTACGTGGCCCCGCTCTGAACATAAGCATGGCACTACCTATAAGGCCTACTCTGGGGACATTTGAGCTTTCTATCTCTTTAAATTAGTACCTGGGCTACTTACTTTAAGGGGTTTTAAAACTCATCAGGTTAAATTTTGACATTATGTTAGGCTAGAATGCTGATAAGAAATAAAAATGCTGCAAACAATATTTTTTTAAAGAATTGTCTGGTAGGCTAAATATGATTTAGGCCTAGATTATGTTTTTTTTTTAAATAAACAGAATTATAGGTTTTGATTACAATTATAACCTAACTGGAAGTTTACCATAGCCTACAATAAGTTATATGAAATATATACCTATATATCTGTAGGGGGCCTATAATTTTTTAATCTATTTTCATTTTCAGGTTTTGAAACCGAGAGAGAAAAAGCTTGGCCTCGGAACAGCTTACATCCATGGAATTAAACATGCCACTGGAAATTTTATTATTATAATGGACGCTGATCTATCTCACCATGTAAGTGGTAGCCTTATTTTTATCTAACAATTTTACAATCATGCATATAAAAAAGCACCATGATGTACCATACCAATTTTTATTACTTTCATTATGTCCATAGGTAGGCCTATAAAGGAAAGTGCAACTTGGATTTGTTGTGTATCCACATGGGTTAATTTATTAGTTTACAGTTTGATTCCGTTTATATCTGGAGCAGGGAGCTCAGCCAAAAGTAGTTTTTAACTTTGAGATTTTGCAACATTATATCCAGTACCAAATGTGGTTTGAGGTAATTCTGGAAACCAGCATTTGCGTCACAACCCCCACCACCTTGAGGTTAGATATGGTCGGTCCTTGTGAACCACCAACTTACAGTCAGAGTCAGCCTAGGCGCGGCCACTAGCTGGTCATGATTCTCCCGCTGATATTAGCAGGTATGTGGTGATAGGCTAATAGGAGATTTACATTGCCCGACCCTTGGTTCAGTAGTAGGTAGCCCTCTCTCTAAATTATACCCTTTTAATAATGGGGATTCTCTGTGATATTAGCGTAGTCATGTATTAGTAAGATATTATAACTTGTATTTTATTGCTTATCCGCTTAATAAATGAACCCAATTAACATCACGCCCGAGTATTTATTCCGGACACCCCACCCACTAGCGGATACAACATTTGGTGTCAGAAGTGGGATATCTGTAAATTTAAGTCGGGAGTTAGTTATCTCGGACATATTATCAGTGGTGAAGGCGTGAAGATAGACCCAAGGAAAGTTGAAGTTGTTTGCACATATCCTATGTCAGTAAATGTTAAACAAATACGTAGTTTTCTTGGGGTTGGTAAATTATTATGGAAAATTTATTTAAAATTTTAGCGAAATTTCAAAACCGTTAATTGAGTTGGCATATAATAATATCAATTTTAGTTGGGGTGAGAGGCAGTGGAAAGTGTTTAAGTGCACACACTGGCACATGCACTCTCGACAAAACCAATAATTTTTGAATGTGGTAATTTAGTAGATGCAGTGAGTTAAGCGTTAAAAACAGTTAAGGTAAATATAAATGTATTTAAGGAATAGAGTAAATTGTATTATGATAAAAATAAGTATTGATAGAATTTAATGTGGAATATACAATATATATATTTTTCATTCGAAAAATTAAAAATGTATCGGGGCAAAAGATTTTGTGAAGTACTGGTCGGGGCCTCATACCATTCTATCCAAGTTATTAGATTTAGTTTATGAAGTTTAATTAGGAGAGCGTAAAACAAATTTACATGTGAATAGATTAAAAGCAAACAGGGAAAGTTTGCGAAATGAGATAGTGTTGGAATATGATAAATTCAAAGAAATTATGGGTAATGATTTTAGCGATAAGGACGATGTGGTTGTGGTAAGTAATAAGTCGGATGAACGTCCGGTGATTGACGGAATCGATCAAAATTTGCGGCCGGATGCCATGGTTTTTGCAAAACCAAGAATTGTCGGAATTAGACCGGAGTACGGCGGAAGTGGTCAGGCACGCGTCCCGGAGAAGCGGCGAACCGAGGCGCCGGAAGTACCAGAAATAGAAGATGACACGGGCGATATGAATATGGCAAACACAAGTAGTAGCTCGGACCAAAGTACTTTCCGAGGTTGGGGTAGTCCATGTTCTATGACTGAGTCATTAGGCTCGGAAAGCTCAAGCCGTGTGGAGGATACTGGTAATTTAACTATGATTGATGATCCGAGGGATGTTGACTGGGCACCGTCCAATAATAAAGATGACGCGCCAGATATGAGAGCAACGACTCATCCGTACAATACTAGGCACAAGTCTAGAAATCAATCAGCAACCAGTCCTTAAGTAAATTGATGTTATTGAATTAAATGGAAGAAATTAATTTTGTATTTTAACGAATGAAACTTGGATGCACTTCCTGGCTGAAACGCGAGGCGTTGTTGTTTGTAGGTATGCGACGTTGTTCTGATATTATTAATTTTCTGTTGTGGTTGTATAAATGCATATAGGAGTGAAAGGTGTAAAAGGCGTATGGTATAAATGTAAGAAAGAATGGAAAAAAAAAAATTAACAATGTGTTGCACTAACACTATTTGTTTCAATTCGTAAGATATGGCGGTACTTCTATTACTAAGGCGGTATTTCGTTTGTTTGCAGGCACGCTCTGCAGCGTGGCCACACTAGACCCTGGTCTCGAAGGGAAGTTAGTATGTGGAGCAAGGCATTGTGAATTGCTGCCAGCAGGGGTAATGTTCATCAAGGAAAGAGATTTGATAGTTACAGGGGACGCGTGGAAGGTCGCGTCAACCTTAGATATAAAACATTATGATGAACTAGTGTCGGCGTTAGCAGATGCGGTGTATAGTATTGCAGACAACGTTTCCGAGATAGGGTTGCCTATTCCCGAGGATGAATTAATGCGGATGAAGGAGGGAGTAATGCATTTACGGGCGATAACGGACCAACTGAAACTTTTGTTAGATTGGGAGGATGATATGGACAACTTAAGGGGAATAGGGCTATATTTGATTCTATAGGGACAGGTATGCGTCAAGTATTCGGAACGTTAGACTTGGAAGATTTTTATAATTTAAATGATAAAATTGGGGAAATTAGCCATTATTCAGGTGGAATTAGTTTATGTTAGTTAGGAATAAGTAATTTACGTAAAAACATTACAGGACGGGTTGAAAGTCACACATTCAGATATTATAGGGCTTGCAAGACTTTTTGAAAATAAAGTTAGTCAGTTTACAATGCGTACACAATCAGTGGAGTTGCAAGTCTCACAATTAAATTATACTGTAAATTTACAAAATGGGTTGTATTCACTAGTCAGAAGTATTGAGTTTATGGGATTAGAGTAATATTTATTGTTTTGTTAAAATCCCCAGATAGATCCTTTGAGTAGTTTAGAGTCTTTAACCTCCCTGCATATGATCAGAAATTAAGGGCATATGTAAGTTTCCATAGTCTGTCCCCATATCTAGCTATTACGCCAGATCGACAGCGGTATGCCACTCTGAGCGAGGAACAACTCCAGCGCTGTACCCAGGGACAACAGGCACTGTGTCAACCACTATTCCCAGTGTGCCTACGTGTGAATCCAGCTGTGAAGCTCAACTGTTAGCCGAGCGAGGGACGACGACCCCAGGAGTCTGTCAGAGGCGGGTGCATCATGGACCAATGGACACTGTGTTTCACCAGGTGCCGTCGCAAGGGCTGTGGGTGTACAGCACAACAACAGCAATGACATTGACTTTTGAATGCAGAAATGAAGTGAGGCAAACAACGATCAGAATTCAAGAATTTCCTAAAATGAATGAATTATGAACATGCATTATTATGATATCCAAGAATCATGAAAATTTCAAGAAAGTGGAAAGCTGGCACAGTAATCATTTTGTGCGTCATCGCTTGTTTGACCTGCTACTGTCGAAAGCCATTGGGAAAGGTCGTCCAGCTATTTTGGGTGATCAGCCACTGTCAAGGAGCCCAGACGGGACCACCATCATCAACTGTAGACAGCGAGGTGCCTAGCCCGACTCCAACTACGTACCGGAGAGCAATCATCCCAAGTGCAGGGGTCCAATGGAGCAGCCACGCAGGAATCAACCTCATATCCACCCTCGACCGTTCACAAGCAGCAGAAGTCCACCTGGCGGAGTCCTCAGCTCAAGAAGAAACCAATTTGTAACCCCAGAAGTATCGCCAAATCAGTGAATTCGTGTGAATGTGCAAGTGTAGTGAGTGAAGGGCAATATTTGTGTTATTTTGTGTGCATTATGGTATTGTAGTATTTAAGAAATGTATTATGTTGTAGCCGCAGCAAAATGGTAAGCACCAAGATCAGTGCTAAACGCGTTAGTGTTGACGCGGGTGCGGTACATACGTGTGTATGTACGCGTACCGGGTTCGCTAAGTGTACATATAGCATGTGCATTTACCGAATCCCAGTTAATAAATATGAAGTAACGCTGCGGTGATATGAGAAATGTATTGATGTTGACATTAATTGTCAATTGATGATGACGGCGGGTCTCTAAGCATGTGTCTTTCCGAATCTATTGAAATTCATTGTAATCAAAATTCAAAATTGTCACGTAATAGCCACATGCCATTCGAGGCGTTAAGAGCCACCCCAGTAACCGGACAGGTCCTAAAAGATTGCCTGTTCGTTTTGGGTAACCGCACCCTGCCAATTGAGGCTCAAGCGGTCCCTTTAGTCATGTTTATACCGTCCTCAGGGTTATTTGTCTTCCTCTTCTACCTCAGGTTGTAAGCAGTATTAATGCAACGGGTTGTATGTTCCTCAAGTGTTTAAGCGAAGGTTGTATTATTTAGAATTTAAGTTTGAGGGTGCTATCTTAGATATGTTGGTGTTTATGAATTAATTGTGGAATGTTAAATGTGTAATGAAGTATATATAGTGTTTAAAAAAAAAAAGTGTTAACATAGGCAAAATGTCTGTATGAATGGATTATGGAGTGTGAATGCATAACGTTAGGATGTTCCATTAACTGTGGATATACCCTTTGTTGTTAATTGGTAGTTTATTTATTTTGTGAACAGCCATTAAGCACAATTCGGGAATCACGTGGTAATTGGTTTAGTCACACATTAATGTGGATACGTCAAGGGATTGTCACAATTGGGCAAAAGTAAGCATTGACACATGGTGACAGTACTACGGAGACAGCTGTAGTATGCGAGGTGAGTGGAGGTCTTTACCCCCTCGACATTGTTGGTCATTCATTAAATAGACCTGGTATGCAGAAGCGTTATCTTTGAAGGCCAGTAGTGTGGTCTGCGCCAAACAGCTGTTGTCGCCAATACAGATAACAGAACTCCAACTCCAGGATTGTTTATTTACTTGCCCTTGAGGCAAATATTTCAGATAACTAGTTGCCCACAACATTCCTGATTGTGTCTGATGGTGTGAACATAGTCAACGTAGCCAGTGACGGCTGCTGTATGAGTTTTGAGACAAAAAGATAGTTAAAATCAATTTTAAATATGCATAAAGGTTGTCGGGGTATAGAAGCAGAAAGTGGTGTTAAATTTTGGAAATATGAAATGTTTCGCCAAAGATATAATGATATGATGTAATAAGTAGGGTAGTTGTTTGGTGTGTGTGTGTGTAAAAGTATAAGGTATATATATATGAAAGGAAAGAATATAGATATAAAATAAAAAAATAAAAAAAATAAAAATAGTAAAAGTATAAAATAAAATAAAAATATTTGTGGTAACATTGATGGGTTGTGTTGTTTGAATTAATCAATTATAGTCTTGTGTTTACTTTGTGATTTAAATTGATGTATTGTATTTCTTTGTGTTTATTTTGGGAGTTTGATTTAATAGAGATGGAGTATTGGCTAATTAGTCAGGGTGTATTGTAGTTCAGATAGGGATGCGCTATGTTAAGCGGGGAAGAGAAGAGATGCATTTTGTAGATGGAAAAGTTTATTAGCGTGTTATAGTGTGTTAACTGGTATTCGTATTGTATTTTGCTTATTCATTTGCCAATTTTAATAACATAATTATCATTGTCGTGTGGTTTATTGTGCATATGTTAGGACATTTAGGTAATATTTAAAAGAGATCCAATTTTAATAACATAATTATCATTGTCGTGTGGTTTATTGTGCATATGTTAGGACATTTAGGTAATATTTAGAGGAGATAGTCGCTTATGAAATCAAGCAAAGTATTAATTGATTCCATTTGATCATATTGGATTTGATAAGTTTTAAATTTAAATCAAAATTATGATTCATCATTTCACTGTGCATACAGTTGTAGATGTCCAACTGTTTCACTGAGGCGGCGTGTGCCACCGCAGGCGTTATCGCTGCGGGAAGCCGGTCAATGATAAGCTTGTATCTCTGTTGTGACTTTGTTGTTGTAATTTTGTATCAAATATGAATATACTTTAACCATAGAATATTTTAGATATTTGTTTTGACATTGCTATGGTGTAGCTTTAAGGCTTAGACAAGCAGAGAATTCCCCTTAGAGTATCTCCTATAATTGTAAGGGCCAAGGATCATTTAACATAAACAAAACACGTAGTTCTTTCAAAATTCTTTATTTTTGGTAAAAGTTAGACCACTTGAGTGTGGTCTCACTTTTAGAAAGAAGGGGCGAATGTTGTGTATCCACATGGGTTAATTTATTAGTTTACAGTTTGATTCCGTTTATATCTGGAGCAGGGAGCTCAGCCAAAAGTAGTTTTTAACTTTGAGATTTTGCAACATTATATCCAGTACCAAATGTGGTTTGAGGTAATTCTGGAAACCAGCATTTGCGTCACAACCCCCACCACCTTGAGGTTAGATATGGTCGGTCCTTGTGAACCACCAACTTACAGTCAGAGTCAGCCTAGGCGCGGCCACTAGCTGGTCATGATTCTCCCGCTGATATTAGCAGGTATGTGGTGATAGGCTAATAGGAGATTTACATTGCCCGACCCTTGGTTCAGTAGTAGGTAGCCCTCTCTCTAAATTATACCCTTTTAATAATGGGGATTCTCTGTGATATTAGCGTAGTCATGTATTAGTAAGATATTATAACTTGTATTTTATTGCTTATCCGCTTAATAAATGAACCCAATTAACATCACGCCCGAGTATTTATTCCGGACACCCCACCCACTAGCGGATACAACAGATTGTTCCTTTCTTTGGTTCAATTATTGAATGAAATAAAATACTTGAAAATTACATTCTTGAATTTTTTTATTAATCCGCCTTGTCCTAAACATCATTAGTTAGGGTTTTGGTTTTAATGCAATCAAATCTATGTATCACCATAGATAAACCATAGTTCCTTAGTAGATTTCTCATCCTTGTGGAACAGCTGAAGCCAATTTTATTGTTAGTTCTGTCAGGTTTTATGTAGATGTCGTGTTTTGTTTATAATTTGTTTCTATTGCTTTAGGGTTAGTTTCTCATTATTTGTGTGTCACTGTTTGGTTATATAGCTAGTGGACAAGTTATGTTTATGATTAGATAGTTTTATTTGGTTACAACAAAATACAAACAAAACATGACATCTACAGAAAACCGGACAGAACTAACAATAAAATTGGCTTCAGCTGTTCCACAAGGATGGGAAATCTACTAAGGGACTATGTTTTATCTATGGTATCACCAACAAACTTGCTGCTTTTAACAGCTGCTTAGATTCAGAAAAGCTAAGGTCTTGATAGGATAGGTTGATTGGAATAGCATTCTAGATCCCAAGGACAGGATGGACTTACTGTTACCACTGACTGCTTCGTGGTGTGAGATAAGCAGGATAAATTCACATGAAGATACTTAATAAAGTACTTAAACCAAATTTAATCTGTCTCAGCCCAAGTTTATCCTGGAGATGATCGCCCTACAACAGAAACACAACCTAGACGTTGTGTCCGGCACTCGCTATGTAGGCACAGGTGGAGTCTACGGCTGGGACTTCAGACGCAAGCTGATCAGCCGAGGCGCAAACTTCCTTACTCAGCTGCTACTGCGACCCGGGGCATCCGACCTTACTGGTAGCTTCAGGTACGTTAATATTATTTAAAAATAATCGCTCCATCATTTAAAATCTGCTTAAAAATCGTAGCTATATTGAAGTTATGAATTGTATATAGAATACTAAAACACACCTTTTCTGACATTGGGGTTGATTGATTCCTTGGAATATCCTGCTCCTTCTGCTTGCCTTCCAGAAGTGTCTATAAAACACTAAAAGGTCCTTTTAAGTTGGGTTGATGGACCCTTCAGCATATCATACCACTTCCCACAGTGTAGCCTAAGTAGCTTATGTTAGGGCTACTAGTTCCTATGGTTTCAACTGTATACCATGTAACAATGAATCTAAATTATAGTTTTTATACCTTTCCAAGTGTATTTTTCTGTTAAGAGGGTTCTCCCCAGTCAATTCAAGATGGCGGCTAAACATGTTAGTGTTCCTGAATATCCCTCTACGGTACAAGCTCTCAACATTCTAAAAATAATTTGTTTCCGTTTCCAATGATTGTGTGCTTGTTGTGCTCCTAACATATCAGAGCTTGTAGTGGGTGGAGCAAAAATAATGTTCAACTATTGTTTGGAAGTTAAAATCGCACGTGAAAAAGACTAGGTCTAATTTACAATTTTTAAAATGATTTTGTAAATACGGTACTTAAAGAAACAATTACAAAGTTTCAGTTCAGCCAGTGCATAGTTTAGATAATTGTGCATACTGTTTATTTATTTAAATTTGATTAACACTTTAGGTTCTTTTTTGTAGGACCATGTTTACATGGTAACAGCTGGCAGGAGGAACCCTCTTAACTAAACCTTTACCTCACTATGAATGCCTCTAACCTAATTGTCTATGTTCCGATCATGATGTGTTCCCTCACACACAGGTAGGAGTGATTCGTGTTTACCATGTAACATGTTACGCTATTGCAGTTATAATGTTTATTTCTTAGCCCTCAATACATCTTTGATGTTTTAACATCACTCACAAGAAAATCTTTATCTTTCTAGGGTAGCCTGTGTATCAACTGTTTTCAATAACCTAAAATCAATTATTTATTTCTGCTGCAGGTTGTACAAGAAAGACGTACTACAGAAGTTGGTGGAGTCTTGTGTCTCTAAGGGATATGTGTTTCAAATGGAGATGATCATCAGAGCTCGACAGTTCAATTACTCCATAGGAGAGGTGAGTCATCTTACTCTCCATTATCATTGACTCAACAAACCAAAACCATATTGTTTTACTTCACCTGTTTTACCAAAGAGAATATATTTTTAAGAAAAGTATGATCTTATGGATGTGTTTGAGCTTAAACATTATGGCATTATTCGACATTTTGCCCATTCGTATAAGACACCTTGAGGTTAGGATTCTTCAAGTCAGGCCAACATGCAGGGCCGGACCTAGGGCTTCAGGGGCCCCGGGCAAATCTGCCAATATGGGGCCCCCAGCATGAATATATGATTATATACACAATATAATGTGTCTTACATGCACACTATTTTACCATTATAAGCAATGTAATGGCGAAATAATATTTAAACATGTTAGAATATCAGTACGGTATGTTGCATTTTGTATAAAGTAATTATATAATATTTTAACTGTTAACATATTTTAATGTACGATTTTATGGTTTGTTGTAACTGTATTTATTAAAACTTCATGTTGTTAGCCTCCGGATCACTGGTAATAATAAATAATAGTTTAAATACCTTTTACTGTCAAGTGATCCTTTGTAGTCCAAATATAGGCTACTACAGTTTTGTTCCTGATGGGAACTTCATCAGGCTGTCAAGGACATCAAATTTCGTTCCAAACGTTTGTGTGTTAAATGTATGACATGGATGGATTTTAACTTCAACGACTTCCTCTGGAACGAAATTTGATGTCCTTGACAGCCTGATGAAGTTCCCATCGGGAACGAAACTGTAGTAGCTTATATTTGGACTACAAATGATCACTTGACAGTATAAGGTATTTAAACCATTATTTATTATTTATTAACACTTTAACCGAAACACCGGTCTGTGAGACCGGACGGAAAATTGATTTTCCTGTAGTGGCAAAACTGCTGGACGTGCGTGCCCCTACCCCTCAGTACCTTTGCCCCTCCTACTCTTCTCCCTACCCCACCCATCAGCGTCAGTCCCCAATCAGCGGTCATTGAGTGAGTGTCTCCATTTTGAAAACGTGCTGGTCTCTAGTGCCGGGTCTTTCGAGTAACGTATATCGCGCTGCCGGTCTTTGTAGGCAGTTGTTTATGCAAAGGCTTATTTTTTTTTTCAAAAAACCCGTAAAGTGTGCATAGACTGTGACTGTATATAAAAGACAAGTTCAGACAAGAAGATTTTTATTTTTTATTTTATGTATCCAGTATATTGTATGTTTAAGGTTTATTATACATTTTATTAGCCTACATTTTTTGTAAATTAATATTACTTTTATAACACATATATTTGTACTAAAATGTATGTTTTACTTTCCTTAAGCTCGCATATACTTAAAAAAATACTAAATCTAAGATTTTACATGAAATTTGTTGATGAAAAATCGTCCGGTCTCTAAAACCGGATGTTTCTATTTACCTAAGTGTCACCCATGTTTCGGTTAGTGTTAAAATTCAATATACCACTTAAGTAGGTACCTTGCTAATTCCTTTGCAATACTACATTAAACCATTGACTATTGGTTTAATCACACTAATCGACACTAATTTTTACTAAACATTGGCTTCAATTTTAACATAGGAACGCATTTCTGTAAGAAAGGGTTCAGTCCTTATTAATTACGGTTTCCAGTTGACAAATTTATTTGTGGAAAAGTGTTTTGTCGTAAAAAATTTGTACGGATTAGAGAGTTCCTAGAAGGTAGTAAACATTTGAAGAACAGGGCGAACAACGGATGTTCATCAGTTCCTATCGAGACAATTGTTGAATTTGATTAAACTTTGCTTGCTTCACTGACCTCTTTCAGACATCCAAGGCTGACTGTAGTTAATGAGAATCGGAATGTAGAATTGTCCTAACTTCGGTCACTGCTTCAAACATAACTAATGAAACGGGTCCGCGGAATTGGCTAACTCTGGAACTCGCTAACCCCATGTTAAATGCCCTATCTTAAAATTTGGTCGATGAGAGGAACTCGCTAACTTGTTCGGTTTCGGAATTGGCTAACTCCGGAACCCGCTAACCCGCTTTAGAGCCGGGTTAGTGACTTCCGTACTAGGACAGAATTCGCTAACTCGGTCCCTCGGCGGAACTCGCTAACTTCCAATCAGAATCGTCGCGCGCCGGCCAATAGGAGCAAAGCACGAAGATTGTTGGCCAGTGTTGCCGAAAGTGTAGTACCTACGATCGTATCGGTACCATAATATCGTATCCAGTGAATAATTCGCAGTAAGAGCAATGTGGTTGATGTTAAATAAATGTATATTGAGAAGTAGGCTATGTTTATTATTATTGTTATGATTATTATTAGCGTGTAAAATGCGTTATTATATTCTGATTTAATTGTTGTTTATTCGTTTGTAAAAAGATAGTTCGTTCCGTTCTTTTGTTGATGAAATATTTATTTTCATAGGCCGTAATTTGCTCCTTTTTTTCAAATAAATTGCATTAAATATATGAAATGCTGTAAATAAAATTATCAAGTTCGTATTTGGTAGACCGGGTTTGTAGCCGTGAACGATTTTCCTTGATAGGCTATAATATGACTCTTTAAAGGTCTATTTTATGTCTGTCGTGCGAGTTATGATTTTTATTCATTTGAATAGCTTATCATTTTGTTTCAATGTTCTTACATTCATTAATCTGGCACTCCCCTCATGAAGCAGAACAAGACAGTCCGTTCTGTTTACACCCACAGATGCACAATGGGTCATAATAGAAGAATGGACCATTTGCAATAATCACTCTAGGGTTGGCAGTATAGGCCTATCAGATACTGTACGGTAGTACGAGGTTTTCACCAAGAAGGACATTATTCTCAGACGTTTGAACATTTATGTGAAAAAAACTACTATAGGAAACAGTAAACATGAATACTATAGTATGAAACAGTAAACATATCAAAACAGGCAATGCAAAAAGACTACAAAACAAAAAAGTCGTACCCCCATACATTTCTTATGGACGTTTCGTAGTTTGAACATGTTTGTAGACAATTTTTCTTATATCTCCAGTTTTTATAAACAGTTATAATATAAACAGTTCTTCTTGAAGAAAGAACTTGGTGACATATTAGCAACCCGAGATATACATCTTTTAATAAAACCTTATTTCTAAAAAGTTAAATTTAATATTGTTTTAGGGTTTGTAGCTAGTCTATAACACGTCCGATTTTAATTATCAAGAGCTAAAATGAAAAAACTTTTATCACTTCAATGGCTTATGAAGCAATTTTGCCCAGGTCAAATCATAATTTTACTAGACTATTAACAAACTTATCTTTGCCACCGTGCTGTATTTTTTATTTGAGGATTATTTTTATCAAGTGTCATTTTTGATAATTCTGAAGGTGCCGGGGTTCGCATCCCGCTGGTAGTACTAATTTTTTGGCCTTGCAAACTAACAACACGTCTCCTCAATTTTCTGTCACCTGCCTCTTCTAATGCACATTATTCATTAAATTACTAAGATCATTTTATAAATTGTGTTTCTTTATATAGTCTAATGTGTTGAAATGCATTGTATATTTATTTAATTTTACTAGGGTTTTACCATTATTTACATGCATTAGGTTCTCACATTATTGTTTTTGAAACGTCACAATTTATTTGACAAACATAAAATGGAAGCATAACAAAGAATCGGAAATCAGAAATCAGAAACGTTTTATTGTCCTTCAACATTTACAACAAATGCAATAGACAAAAGTCAAGAAAATTCAGCTATTACATAAACAGCCTATTTTTAGGCAAAACAAAACAAGCCTAAAAACAAGTCAAAATAGGCTATACTAATACATATGCTTACAAATAAAAAACAATGTGGAAATGTGAGGACATTAAAAGTTAACTTCGTCAACCTTAAAATATTCTTCTAAGTCATAAAAAGGATTTAAAAGTAACCAATCCTGAGCTCTTTTTTTAAATGACTTAAGGTCCAATTCTTTGGCATTGATGCTAAGCTTATTAAATAATCTTAATGAAATAACATGGTAACTATTTTTACATTTACTTAACCTACAATAAGGCACGTCTAATAGGAACTGATTACGTGTGTTGTGTGAATGGATATTAAACCTATAAACATGGGAACTAGTATTTTTCTTAACCCTAAGTAAACACATAAATATGTACAGATTAATCACAGTCAATATTCTACTTCTTATGAACAATGGTTTGCAATGCTCTTCAATTGGAGCTTTGTTTATTATTCTAACTACCTTCTTTTGGAGTATTAACACTTCACTTATGTGACTACTGTTTCCCCAAAGAATCAAGCCGTAGCTAATTATGGATTGGAAAAATGCAAAGTAGGCTACCCTTATGTAGGTTTCAGGTACAACACCCATAAGATTTCTAAGCAAACAGATTACTCTGGACAATCTTGCACAAACCAAATCTATCTGAGGAGACCAGCTTAAACATTTATCAATTTTTATTCCTAAAACTGTAATTACATTTTCATTGTTTACATCTTGTGACTCTACTGGAATGTTTTTAAGACTACACAATAGATTTTGAGTTTTATTCTTATTAAGACAAAGGCTATTAGCATTAAACCACATATAAGCTGAATCAGTTGTGAGCTCAGTTACTGACATAAGATCATAAAAGTTGGGATGAACACTCAAAAAATTGGTGTCGTCCGCAAACATGATGGTAGAGGATCTTTTAATATTGGCTGGTAGGTCATTGATGACTGTGATAAAAAGAAGGGGGCCTATAATCGAGCCTTGTGGCACACCTGAGCTAACTTTCAAGCAGCTTGACATCTTGCCTCCTGCATCAACGAATTGAGTTCTCTCTCTCAGGTATGAATCAAAAAACTTAAGCTGTATACCGCGGATGCCATAGTACTCCAGCTTAGTGATGAGTATGTTGTGATCAATACAGTCAAATGCTTTACTCAGATCACAAGCTGTGATCTGAGCAAAGCTCGACTCCTCAAAAGCTCTCAAAATCTTAGAAACAAGGTGGTCCAGGGCATCCACGGTAGACAAACTTTTACGAAAACCAA